GCTGGGTTGTTTTTTCAACCCAACTGCTGGGTTGAGACTGCTGGGTAAGGACGTTGGGTTGTCTTGATCTATAACCCAGCGGACGTGAAAGAGAGCACGCACTTCACGTTAACATCAGACGACACCAGTGCGAGAAGCCACCATTTTCTCAGCGTCTTCAGATGGAAGCGAGTGCGAGTGAATGAAAGACGGCTTATGGTAAGTAAAGATTAAAAATGTAAAGTCATCATTCATTGTTTGAGTCCGGTAGTATTTTGAGATTTCATGGAATGCGGAAATAGTCCGAAAAGAGCTTATATTGAAAAATACGCGGACGCTGTTTTCGCCTCAGAAATAAGTTAGTCTTAACGGCCTCTTTTACTGAATGGAAGAGGTACTTTTAATATGACGTCAGTGAGTGTCTTATGTCATATTTACATATGATTTTACAATATTTACATTTTTGAGGTGTTAATAGAGGGTTATTAACATATTTACGTTAATTCGTCATCTCCTTTTTCGCGGTTAAACTGAATGTATGTAAACGTATGTAATAAAGCCTAGCCTAATTATTTTGAGGCAGATGAAGTGATAAATCACGGAAGCAGCTCCGGGCGGATGACGTATGAGGTCAGTGTTGCGCATGCGCCGGTGAGTCTCGTGAAAACCAACGTTTGTTAACAAAAGCAAAGGAAGCAAAGTTTCCTTACTTTAGCAAAGGAAAACCAGTCTCCTCTTGGCTTATATCGAAATCATCTGACATTCTTCTTTACAAATCCTCGTTTTGTACTTCTAATTAGTGACCGTTGTTTTGTTTTGATCTCTCCGCTGCTCTATTACATTTTTAAATATGGTTATTTTTCTTACAAAAATGCATCGATTCGCTACAGAAGGCCTTTGTTCATCCCCCGGAGCCGTGTGAGGCACTTTTTATTATGGATGGGCGCTTTTTATTTCACTTCTTTTGGACTGATGCACTGCAACACCCGCTGACTGCCATTAAACAGCTTGAAAGATCAAAGACAATTTTTAATAGAACTCCGACTGGATTCGTCTGAAAGAAGAAAGTCATATACACCTAGGATGCCTTGAGGGTGAGTAATTTATGGGCTAATTTTCTTTTTTGGGTGAACTAACCCTTTAAGGCAAGTAAAGTTAATAATTATTATGTACAGAAGGCCTTCTGTAGCGAATCGATGCGTTATAAAACAATTAATAATCATGTTATCTTTTTTTTAAATTTTTTTTTACTAAGAGTAAAATAATGTTTGTTTTTGTAGATGTTGAAAGCCAGAGGCATAGGATAGCCTCATTCTTTTGAGATTGATGTGAGTTATTTTTAGAAAATAAATGTTTACATTGTCTCCTGCCTGTTTACTTCACATTTTGATGCAACAACAGTATGATTGTGTTCATATTTTATTTAAACCATTGATGTTAATATTATTAATATATAACAATAATATCTGAGTACAATAGCAATAACAGCTAGGAAAGAATTGGGATTTCTCTCCTGTCATGCTGCTGATGAATTAGGTGCTGAATCTACAGTCACACTGACTAACACTGTACCACAGAATAAAAGATGATCTTCAAAGTTTATCAGGCATTAAGCACAAAATTAGTTATTCCAATTTAGCGGACTTTAATTATAACAGTTTAGTATACTAATCATAAAATTGCAGGGTATTTTATTAAATACATAAATATGAAAATGTATTTGTAGTACTTAGTATGAAATACATTTATTTCAGATACATTTTAGTATATTTATGTTTCACTTGAGTCTATTTATGGTTTCCAGTCACCACACTTCTCTATTGATGCTCAGTATAAAGCATAAGCATCACTCTATCACTCTCTTGATTGATGAATTTGTAAAATGCTACTTTAAATTGAAAAAACAAAATCAATGAATTGTTCTCAAGCTGACTGCCAGTTAGATATTTAATAAAATAATCAACATTACACATTTGAATCATGCTGGAATTCAGTCATCACATTTGAAATCTCTAATCACAGGTAACAAAGTTCTTCTGGCTCTCTTGTTTTGGCTCTTGGAGGACTCTGTACTGCACTCTCTCTGGGTTCTCGATGTCAGTTTCGTAGCCTCTGTATGACTGAAAATTCAGCTATTCCTGTCCTACACAAACTGTCTTTTTCCGCTCGCTCTTGGTGCTCTTTCTTCACGCACTTTTCTCTTCAAAATGACCTCACTTCCCTATAATTTTACAGGGGGGAACGAGTTCTATAGTTTTCATTGTGCACTCTCAGAAACCTCAGAAAAGTATAGGCCTAATAAGAAGCAATGGCATTACAAATGTATGATATACTAAAGGACAAGGTGCAGATTACATAAAAATGAATGGCACATCTGATAAAATTATTACATTCAAAACTACTGGTACTATCAGGACAAATCAAAGCCAGATAAATGCAGTATGTAATTATTTGACTGTACTAAAGAATAAAAATACCACAATATGTTTGCAGATATTTAGGAAACATGCTGTTCATGTTGGAATGGCTGTTTTTGTTTTGGTCTTTGTGACTCAGCCCATATAACCTATCAACCGCTGTCAGGTGCCAATACTGCACACTGCACCTTTTAGGTTTTTGTGAAATCTGAGGGGCAAAACAAAATAGAAATGTCCTTTTTTGTTGTTTTTTTTGAATAAGCAATATTAACTACTTTAATAGAAGAGACAAGCCCAATGCAAGAAATACAAGACAGCTTTTCAGAAAAACAAAATATGGGTGAGTCAAGTGCACATAGCAAATAAATGGGTGTTTTAAGGCATAATTGTCATGGGACTTCTTTCATTTTTGCCTGTTGGAAATGTTATTATATTTAGCCTATTTTTTATTTTATTTCCTTCTCTACTGTCTGCCAATGATTATTTCCTGTGCTACACTGACTTATTTTAGATAGTCTGACTTCCTTAACTGTCAGTCACTCGGACATCTGCCAGTTTAATGAAATGGATGTAGTCTATGCAAATTCTGAAGTATGTTCAACAACTGCTAGAAACCGATACAAAGGTAAGACAATTTATCAACAAAAATCTAATTATGTCTGATAAACCATTTATTATTATTATTAATATTAGAGTAATATTATTAATTATTCAAATATACTGTAGCCTATATTTTACTTTACATTGTTCTACATTGATGATTAGTCATACAATGAAGCACAACAAATACTTTTACACTGTAAAATACACTTCAAATCAATTAAAACAAAAGATCTAATCTCTATAGTACTGACTGTCAATTCTCATTCATTCATTCTGTATCAAAACTTCACATCAAAATCATCATTCAGCACTATAAACAACTTTTATTAAAGAAACAAAACTTCTGAGTAAAAATGTCACATTTCCTTCCTTCAAGGAAGTATCAAAAACTGTGGCTAAGTTCAGACTAATTCTTTATTGTACTTCATACTTTGCTCTGGTTTAAACTGGTTTTACTGATTATACAGTGTGTGTGTGTGTGTGTGTGTGTGTGTTCCCCACAAAGAAGGCAATATCCAAAATCTGTGTCCTTGTGGGAAAATTGTTTGGTCCCCATGAGGAAACAAGCTTATAAATCATACAGAATGATTTTTTTTTAAATCTAAAAATTCCAGTAGTTTTGTGCGAGGGGTAAAGGGATTGGAAAATACAGTTTGTACAGCACAAAAATCATTACATCTATGTAATGTTCCCACAAAAAATGGAAACCCAACATGCGGGTTTGTGTGTGTAACTCAAACCAATATTGAATGTGCATTTATTTACATATTTGTCAAGTTCTTGTATTATACCCAGGATTATGCTAAATGAATAAATGTAAATGTACATTGTTCAACAACATATTTCTCATAAAGATGTACATCTATAATGTACCTAGGTCTTTTTTTAAGCATTTGACTTGTATAACTCAAACCAATATTGAATGTGCATTTATTTACATATTTGTCAAGTTCTTGTATTATACCCAGGATTATGCTAAATGAATAAATGTAAATGTACATTGTTCAACAACATATTTCTCATAAAGATGTACATCTATAATGTACCTAGGTCTTTTTTTTTAAGCATTTGACTTGTACTGATAATTATTATAAACTTCATCTGACTTCTAATCACAGATCAGAAGACCCTCAAGAAAGAAGTGACTGTGCATAAATGGATGAAAGTTCTTCTGATAGTTCTCAGTGTCTGTCTGGTCTTTGCTTTCGGAGGCGTTTGTACTCTGGCGATACTTCTTACACGTGCTACACGTAACTCATTTTACTTCTAAACTCATGCCTAAACATAAGCATTTTGATTATATCTACACATATTTGAGATTCTATTACAAAAAAGAATCCAAGGCACTTCTGGTCTAAAATATTTGAAATTATATTGATTTGTTTTGCATGTTGTTGTTTTTTAAATTCAGACTTCAATGTGTCTGTGTCTGATCAGGACCACAATGCCACAGGTGAGGGAAATACAACAACCACAACAATTTCACTTGTACAGCACAAAAATCATTACATCTATGTAATGTTCCCACAAAAAATGGAAACCCAACATGCGGGTTTGTGTGTGTAACTCAAACCAATATTGAATGTGCATTTATTTACATATTTGTCAAGTTCTTGTATTATACCCAGGATTATGCTAAATGAATAAATGTAAATGTACATTGTTCAACAACATATTTCTCATAAAGATGTACATCTATAATGTACCTAGGTCTTTTTTTTTAAGCATTTGACTTGTACTGATAATTATTATAAACTTCATCTGACTTCTAATCACAGATCAGAAGACCCTCAAGAAAGAAGTGACTGTGCATAAATGGACTAAAGTTCTTCTGATAGTTCTCAGTGTCTGTCTGGTCTTTGCTTTCGGAGGCGTTTGTACTCTGGCGATACTTCTTACACGTGCTACACGTAACTCATTTTACTTCTAAACTCATGCCTAAACATAAGCATTTTGATTATATCTACACATATTTGAGATTATATTACAAAAAAGAATCCAAGGCACTTCTGGTCTAAAATATTTGAGATTATATTGATTTGTTTTGCATCTGTTGTTGTTTTTAAAATTCAGACTTCAATGTGTCTGTGTCTGATCAGGACCACAATGCCACAGGTGAGGGAAATACAACAACCACAACAATTTCACTTCCAGTTTGTGCAGTCAATTGTCAAACGCCGCCACACCATCTCATCATCGCTGTTTCTTTGTTTTGGATGCAGATTACAAAGCACAGTTTGATGCGCTCCATAACCAGCATGAGGAGACACTCGGAAAGCTGAACAGATTAAATTGTACGTCTTAAAATCTGAGCCATGTGCAACGTGTAAAAGACCTTAAACACACACATACAATTACTCTATAATACAAAGAGAAAATATGTCTGAAATAAGAATTGATTCATCTCTACCTCTTTTACTAAAGACAGCACAGGTTGCGCACTTTGTGCCGACCACTGGATTCATTCTGGAGGAAAGTGTTACTACTTCTCTACGGTTAAGATGAACTGGACACAGAGTCGAGATCACTGTGTGACTCTAGGAGGACATCTAGTGATCATAAACAGCAAAGCAGAGCAGGTGTGTTCACCAGTTAAACCCTTCTGACATCAATTTCATGTCCTACAGTTAAATAGTGCACACATCGAAACAAATCATATACATTTTTAGGTCCACTGATTGACATTTTAGCAAAAATACGCTAAACATTCAGATATCGGTAAAGTCAACCTGAAACAGAACCCATTTTACGTCTGTAACGTGACATTTTTGAGAGAACCAGTTCAAGGAAAAGGAGGCAGTACTTGATTTTGTGCATCTGGAATTTATTTATTTAGCATATAGGCTACTTTTATCCAAATTGACTTACAAAAGAACATCACAAACTAGGCCATCGATATTTGCAAAGTGCCACGTTTCAAGTAAAATGTATACAAGCTAAAGCAGATGTTAAATGCAGAGAAGTAAAGAAAGAGAAAACAAAGTCTCTCTTTTTTCCAAAATAGGAGTCATAATTGGAAGTATTTGTTTATGGTTATGATTTAGTCTGTCTTCAGCAGATCGGTGAAGGCAGGGAACTTGTTTTTAGGTTTCTAGAAAGCAACATTGTGCCAGGTAATTACTGATCGTACATCAATTTGATGCGTGATGTCAGTTGAACAGGAATCATTTACAATACGACCTGGAATGTGCATTAAAAAGCCCCAAAACAAGAGTCAGTTCATGTTGACTTTAAATACTATACATTTCTGTTCTGAACCTTTTGTGCACTACATCAGATCTCGCATGATAGTAACACTGTTCAGTTTGTTTTCCTTCAGGATTTTGTTACTTCTAACATTAAAAAAACCCACTGGATTGGTCTTAATGATTTGGACACCGAGGGTCACTGGGTTTGGGTGAACAACCAGCCAGTCAATGATTCAGCAGGGTAAGATCCACACTAATGTTTAAAATGCCACCTTTGCATTGAAAAACCACCAGTACTTGAAGCAGATGTATTTTGTGTTTTTTTCCATTCTGCAGATTCTGGATTAAGCGAGAGAATGGGATCAGAGAGCCTGATAACTGGACTAAAGGCCATCCGGACGGTGAGGACTGCGCTGGTCTGGGACATCCAGGCGGAGAGACGGATTTCTGGTCGGATGCTTTCTGTTTTCTAGAGAAAAGATTTGTGTGTGAAGCTCCTGCAGCAGTTTAATTCATCACTCCCAAATAGATTTTTCTTACAAAAAAAAAAAAAAAAAGGCCATTTGCTCACTACTATTTTTTCAATGGAACATTTTGAAAAATCAATGTACTTACCACTTTAACCCCCCCGGCTGAGTTGAGCAAATACTTTGCATTAAATGTAAGCTTTGTATTAAATGTAAACCAGTTTCTGCTTTTAACACTTATAGTTTTTTCAAGTTGAACGCACATGAATGCCACCACAAAGTTGTAATCACAAATAAGAAACTTTCTTTAGGCCCAGGGTTTCCAAGTTGGGGGCATGTTAGTGAAAAAATATGGCATCTGTATTATTGGTAAACTTGTTGAATTTAAGCGTTTTTTGTTGTTTTTTAATTTACAATAAAATTACTTTGGATAAGAGCATCTGCTGAAAGCTTACATGTAAATGTGTTTATTACACCTTGATATTAATTCCCCAAACCTGCAGAGTAACAACAACTGTTCAAGTAACAAACGGAAGCCGACATAGGGACATATAAAATAAATTTTATTATCCATTTTTCTGAATTTCTACACTGTAGTGGCTTCTATATAGACACCATCATCAGGAAAGTCTGCCGGACACTGACACAACATAACAACTGTCTGCTGTGTGTCCGAGCTTCAATATATAATTATTGTATGGAAAAAAAGAAAAAAAGAAAAAAAAAAGAAACCTAATTTAGTCTCTCTTTCGTTTGTTTACACTCAACATAAAAATGTGGCCCAGGGCAAAGAGAGCATGATTGAGTCTGTTCAGGGCTGAGCACCAGTGGCTGCAGGAACCTGTGTGGCAAGAGCACTGGGAGAGGAGATGACAGGAGAACCTGCGATGTTGGCCATCGGCTGGGACGAGGACATGGATGTGACGCCTCCTACAGGCAAACAGACACAATGGTTTGTCAGTATTTGTGAAATCTCCTAATGTAAGTTCACTCAGAAAGCACACGACTGACCTGTGATCATACTGGACGTGCTGACTGGAGTGGAGCCAGTGGACAGTCCTGAAGTGGAGCCCATCCTCGCCTGGTCCTTCACAATGGTATCTGACACGAGACATGAACACAGTGATGAAATTAATGTTGCACACTGAGGCATAATCAGTACAGTACAAACTATTTCAAAAAAGGAAAAAAAAATTCTGCTTCTGCGTGACAAACACTTTAGTTCTTGCTAAAAGATGATTCACACCCTATGATTTCCACAATACAGAAAATGTGGATGGAATTCAGTCATAAAAATAAAATTTACTGCAATGAACAGGGATCGTCACGGAATTTGACAATTGTTGAATTTTAAGAGCATTTCACAACTTTATTTGATAAAATCATCATTATATATATATATATATATATATATATATACACACACACACACACAAAAACTGAAAGGTCTTAATGATAACCCCACAAAATTAAAATTTGTTTTACCTTCAAGAAATTGTGACAGAAATACATTACTATTTTACAACAATGTACTTCTCAAAGTAGTAGTAGTAATATAATCAAATTGTTAAAACATTGAGGAATATCACAATTTTCTTCATTGTTTAACAGTAAACCTCTGTTGTACTGCCCTGTAAATTAGGGAAAAATAAAACAGAATTTGGGGGGGGGGAAAATAAATAAAGGCCCTAAAAATTTAATCATCTGTTGTTAAAACAGTACAAGTTTCAGGATTTCAATTAATTAGACATGCTTTTTGATTAATAACACCTTTCCATCGCTGCTAAATACCTTTACAGTCATTTCATCACAATACATGATATGTGTTTTAGAAAAAAAGCACAAACACTATTCTATAAACACATTATGCTTTTAACCGCAGTGATGTTCTAAGACAGAGAGCAGACACTCACAGAAATAAGGGTGCTCCATGGCCTCGCGCGCGGTGAGACGAGCTTGGTGGTCGTAGCGCAACAGTTTGTCCAGGAAGTCCAGAGCTTCAGTACTGACCAGGTGCTGGTTTTCACTGTGGACAAACCGTTCCCACCTTTTCCGGGAATGTCTGGAGAAAAGAGGACGAATGAAAGAGATAAAAATCTAAATTGCAGTTAAAAAGTACTACATGCATAAAAACAATCCCATCTCTCAACATACCTTCCCAAAATGTCGTTGAACCGTGGGTCGAGCTCAATGTTGTATTTGTCGATGTAGTCGTAGAGGTCCTCTGTGCCCAGAACTTTGGCAATCCGTACAAGCTGGAAAAAGAGACAGAACTGGTTAAAAACAGCAGAGGGCAGCAGCCACCACTCGACAGATCCAACCAGCTGAACAGAATACTGCAGTCATGATTATTTTTGTAGGCCAAACCAGAAATTAGCATCATCCCTGGTTTCCTTGTGTTAAAATCACGAGGCATTACTGATGCATTTTACGTATTTTATAAAAATCACAAGGCAATATTACTGATGTATTTTATGTTGTAGAATAAAACATGAAAATATCTTCAGCTTGTGTTAACCACAGATCTTTTTTTAATCCAAAAATCCATTCAAAAAACCCATTGGCTTTGGGACAATGGAAGTGTTTATGCTAAAATGCTAACTCCTTTCCAGGTTTGAGTCTACAAAAATACATCATGCCTGCAGCATTATACCTACTACTATTCATATACTTCTGAGTATGCAAAGTAAATACTGCACTTTTTATGAATTAATTTTTTTATGAATTTATGAAGACAGACACTAGCAAGACATCATCAACCTTCCTTTTTGTTAGTACAAGGGATTGTAGGAAATATTAGCACTTAAAACATGCACAGGCGCAAATTTCAAAAATAGCACACCAAAGCACATTCTCTTACATGCTACGATTTGAGACCAATAAATTGTTTGTACATTTTATAAGATATATAGTATGCAAATTGTGATTAAGCCACAAAACTGATCACACTTTAAAACAGCATGGCAACAATGAATATTTGAAAAGGCCTAAAAGCAGCAGGTCTCACCTGATCATAGTTGTCGTGTCCATGGAAAAAAGGCTCTTTCCGGTGCAGAACAGAACATTTTTATTCGCAAACATGTCTGTATTTGTACAAATCGCTGCACAATCATTTAATCCTGAATTCCACAGACTCAAATTGAAAGGCATTTGTTTGTGGTTAGTAAGATACATGTATAAAATTTATGCAGTACATGGATAATTGTGCGTGCATCTATTAATCATTTTGAGTCTAATATCATCCCATACAAAATGGCATAAACAAAAATCTAATTTAGGTACAGAGTTGTGACACTTTAAGATGATATCAGAAAGAACTTACCTTTAGGATCTCATACATGTAGAACCGAATGTCGTAGTCTGATAACGTTTGATACAATTGCTGCATGACAGAACAAGAGATGCTTGAGTTTGACTGAACCGATTTATTTGTTGCATTTAGTTGAGGTGGCAGAATATTTCATTACACCAAATACACAAAATAATGTTCTTTTTAGCAGCATCATATGACCCCTTTAAGCAGATATGAGAAGTGATTTACCTTGAAGTCTGTGTTGTTCACATGTTCAAAAACCAGAGCTGGGGTTCGAGACTTCAGGGAGAAACGCAAAAGACTTCAGTTAGAGACACATTTGACACACTATGTAAGTGCATGCATGTAGCTGCCCAAGTTTGATTTCACATGCTGCATTCTCAACTATATTTTTTATATACAACATCATCTGGAAGAAAGCCAACTGACCACTGGATCCTTGACAATGTCTAGAAGTGAGATGATGTTGGGGCCGCCTCTCAAATTCTCCAAAATTTTAATTTCCCGCTTGATTTTCTTCTTCTTTACTGGCTACATATGGAAATAAAGACAAAAAGGCAACACAAAACCATTAAAGACAAAATAAAACTGCATTTGCAACTGCTTAACTTCATAACTTGACATTTCAGAATTGAACTGAATATTCAGTGGGGAATAATGTACAATAAATACTTTCCACTCATTTATGATTTCTGGATAAATATTTTTTTTAAATAAAGAAAGATTTTCTATATTCTATAGAATTTAACTTAATTTTAAAATATACAGATTATAAATGTAGAAAATCTATAAAAATTTAAGGATGAATATTAAAAATAAGACAATATTAACAAATATTATTATTTTTTTACTTACATAAACAATCTGAGCGGTCATAAAAAGTGGGTTATGGGATTATTAGTTTGTTATTTTTCACAACCAACCACTGGTTACATCAGCCCAAAACATTTATTTCACTTCGATAACGGTTTTGAAAAGGGACGGCTTCGAGAAACGTCAAGCCAAACTCAAACTTATGCCGCCACAAGTACAACTATATCATCGCTCCATTCAGAGATATTAAGAACGTAAATAAGCTCAATTTTGATTTCACGTAGTCTTGCAGTACAGATGAATTTGACGCAACGACATCCAATCTGACTGCGTCTAGACTCAATCTGAGCGGCTTCATCCTTCGTGTCTCCAGGCAGGGGAAGTTCATTGCACACGACTGGCTACATTACAGGACAACGGTGCTAATCTTCAAAACTATTTATCACTTAGCTTGAAAAGAAGCTCTCAGTTGGTCGGGTGTTATCACTAGAATCTAGAGCTTCTCTGATTAAGAGGAGGAGGGGGCGAGGAAAGAATTCGCTAGGTGCCCGTTCATCTGAATGCCGGCCAGCAGCTTCTGGTTTCGATACCATCCGCTGCCTACCATAATGTAAACAGGCTTATCTCAGCAGACGTTCTCGTCAACTACTTGGAAAATGAGAAGCTGAAGAGGACGTGAAGTCCTAGGGTCCTCACCGTCCCACTGAACTTAACCTGACTTGACCGAGGACTGGTCAGAATGCTGTTAAAGCTGTCTGGAGCAACAACAACGCTTGTCACCTTGAGTATTTTGACGACTACTTTCTCGTTGTTTGTGATGTTGATGGCTTCAAACACTTCGCTGTACTTTCCTCGGCCAAGTTTCCGCACCAACTGGTAGTCATCTTGATTCCTGTTGACAAGACTGACATCTGTTATTACAAGTGCAAATGAAACGCCAGTCCAGACAAATAAAGACATCAGCCCTGTAGCCCTGCAGAGAAATATTTCACACTACACTCTGTGATGCCTGCAAACAATCCTGGGACTCTGAACTGAATGATACCTAATATTTGATCATTACACACGTAATGCTTTCTATCTAGTGAATCAAATGCCATTAGTTTACTATTACTGTGGTTTCACTCAACAATAAGGCCCCCCTGTAATGTGTTCAATTCAGTTGCATTGAATTAAGATTGAAAATGGCCTAAACAGGTAATCAAAAACAGCCAATTCTGGGTTTTAGTTTCAATAACTCATAGAAGCAGCTTCATGAAACAATGGTCTCAGAGTTATATTATTTAGATGACCTATTTCTGTATTACTGAAAATGATAAGAATCTGTAAATTAATAAATAAAATAATACTGTAAGGTATTGCGATATATATCAGTACTGCACTGGCACAATACCCCTTTTTGATTCACTAATGAATCATTCAGAGAAATTTCTGAACCTGTTACACTGAATTATTCAACAAAGCCAACTAAACAGAATGATTCACTTACAAATCAGACATCATTATGGCTTGTGAGCAAGAATTAAATAAAAGATGACCCTACCTAGAAAAAAAAAAGCACTTTTACATTGAACAGGTTGGGGTCAACAAGATTTTTTCATGTTTTTGAAAGAAGTCTCTTATGCTTATGAAGGCTGCATTTATTTGATTGAAAATATAGTAAAAACAGCAATGTACTGTGAAATATTACTACAGTTTGAAACAAGTGATTTCTAATTGAATATATTTTAAAATGTAAGTTATTCCTGTGATGCAAAACTGAATTTTCAGCATCATTACTCCAGTCTTCAGTGTCACATGATCCTTCAGAAATCCTTCTGATATGCTAATCTACTGCTCAAGAAACATTTCTTATTATTATCAATTATTTCATATTATCAATGTTGAAAACTGTTGATTGATTGATGAACTTTATTGTCCCCAATGGGAAATTCTTTTCCACAGCACTGCAATTGTTTAACACACACAACAAAGAAAACAGATTAAAAAAGATGTTGTGCTGCATAAAATTTGTGTGGAATTCTCTGATAAATATAAAGTTCAAAAGAACAGAATTTATTTGTAATAGAAATCATTTGTAAGTTTATACGTCTTTACTGTCACTTTTGAGTAATTTTATGCATCCTTGCAGAATAAGTGTTAATTAAACTGACCCCAAACTTATGAAAAGTAGTGTATATTCAGAGTTTTTCAGGCCTGGAAAATACATTTTTAAAGTACAAAGATATTTTCAGGTTTTTTATGACTGTGGTAACCCTGTAATTTCCTTAATTTTTAGTGATCTTCAACTATCCAGATGTCTTGTAATGTAACCCAAACTGCATAAATCCAGACCTCGCATCATTTCAGTAAACCTGGTAATACTACATTTATTCGTACGAAAAAAGAAAAAAAAACTAAATGATTCTCATCACTCACCCCCACTCTACGACGTGAGATTCATAGTCCCAGTATTCCCGCGGTCTCTGTGTGTTGACGTCTGGATAAACGCGGGATCGACTCGTGACAGGGCCGGACATGATCTGGACGTGTGGCTGCTCCTGTCAGGGCTGTGAACATACAAAAAAAACAATCAATAGAGGGACAGCACTATCAGGCCAATCTGCATCCATAAGATTGACTGAAATAAAAGGCTTGGGGCCTGAAATCTGTGGCCTCATTTGCACGTGGACTTGGTACAGAATCAAAGGGAAGATGAATCTACAACCGGGATGTTTGGTTTTACAGGCCCCCGGCCACGACACGGACCCGACTGTCTGATAAAGTAGATTAAAGTTCTGAATCTCTGCCCAGATAGAGGAAAGTTTTAATCTAGATGCAAGCAGACCGAGGAACACTAGACCACTAGACCACCGCAGTCCAAATGGTGTCAGCACATTCTTTCAGGGTTGAAAACACACAAGATGGCTTAACGACACAATACTGATTTCTTTGAGGCTTTCTATACATTTTGTATAGAGTTGTATACTCTACATATAACAACAGAGAATGCTGAACATAATCAGAAATGAGCTCCAGGTGGTTACTGGATGTTTCCGAGGTCGAACCTGTTGGAATAATCCATTCAGAGTAATTTACCACCAAACCCTGCTTCTCTTTCACCTGCTGATCTACCTGATACAGAGTTTGTCATTGTATAGCAAAAACCATCAAGAACACACCAGGGATTCTAGTAAGTTAGGTAATGAATACCAGCTACAGGGCTGTGGGTGGTTGCAACTCATGTCTCATGTCCGTTTTTCATTGCTATTTTATCATCCACCAGGTGAAAACCACTTTTTAGTAAAAGCACAGTTCTCCTAAATCAGCCATGTGATTTGAGGTACAATTATTAACATCAGTAATCTAGATTTATTTTTCTTTTTTTTAATTTTATGTACATTTATAGCACTATACTTTGTGTTAAGCAATATTACGTATGGAGGACTCTTATTTTGGCTAAAAGCAATGGTTTGAAGTCAACAACAATGATAGCAAAAGATGTTAGTTGATGGACTGGAGTCATGTGGATTTTTGTGATGTTTTTATCAGCTGTTTGGACTCTCATTCTGACGGCACCCATTCACTGCAGAGGATCTATTGATGAGCAAGTGATGTAATGCTACATTTCTCCAAATATGGAAAAACAAATAAACAAGAAGAATCAAACCCCTCTACATCTTGGATGGCCTGAGGGTGAGGAAATGTTTATCAAATTTTAAATTTTGAGTGCTATATTTTGCTATTGGGGTAAATGGGAACTCAAAAATAATATTTTGTAGCTTCTTTTCACCAATATAAAAGTTTACCCAACTATGATGAGCTTATGCTTAACAAATCACCAATAATAATTTATTTATTCACTTTTTAACGTCATGCCAGCATCAAGGCTATTTTCATGGCGATCCCTGAATAAATTATACAAGGTATACAATTAACAAAAGGTTACCAGTAATAATACTAACCACAATAAAAAGACGTCTGCCAAGCAATATATTTCCTTAACATACCTGTAGCCTCTTTACAGTAGAAAACACAGCAGCTTTGCTACATTAAAATATAAATCAATCTATTTTACGGCAGCTCTGAATGAGTCTTATCACATTGAAAACAGGAACCTACTGGTTTAATGAACAACCATTTTGATACAGTACTGGGATCGGTGATGTAATGGAGACTGGCCTGCAGGACCCTAGCGTGATTAGATTTCATCTATGTCTGTTCTCCTGTAATTTGCCTTAACTGGTTGAAAAGAAAACCAAATCATCCTTTTTCCACCCCAACTCCATTGTGAAGCCATCTTGGAGACAATTTAGACCAGAATCTGCTTAAAAACCATTCAGTTCCCTCTCAGAAAACTTGTGTTTTTTTATATTCATCACCTTAAAAGCTTCACAACTACATATTCAGAAGGACATCTCTGGCCATTGCATCATGTCTCTCGCTGTTTTTTAAAGGTACCGACAAGCGTTGTTTTTAAGATGGCATATTAAGTTAAAAACAGCCAAACTTAAAAATAAAACGTCACGTTCCATCCAGATGATTTTTAGCATGTCTTATGTAAATCCTGCTTAAAGGTGGGGTAAGCGATTTCTGGTAGCCAATGTTGACATTTGAAATCACCAAAACAAACACGCCCCTACCCCAAAAGGGTCTCGCCCCTATTTTGATAGCTCCGCCCCACACGTAAGTACGCAACCCAGGCAACGATTAGTTCTGTGCAATAAAAGCAAAACCAATGTTACACCGTGTCTACACCGGACGCGAGTGGCGTGGCGTGACAAAATATTATAGAACTCATTATAATCAGTGATGCTGTCGACACCATAGATATATATACATATCTATGGACTACTGGATGCGGCGTGGCACGACCATCAGATCAGGGTCAAATAGAATCATGAAATCAGCCTAATTATCGATGGTTTCCGCAAAACCAATTAATAAATTAGTCATTCAGGCAACTCACCAACTCTTGATTTTTAAACGTATTTGGCACAGCCCCATTTATGAATGCTAAATAAATCAAGCAGGGATGCTGGAACACAAACACAGTGATGCTAAATGGCATGTATGGGAAACTACCATCAGAAACAATGGATAATTTTGTTTTGCCAGATGGGATTTTGGTTTGATCACCATTCCAAAGATTCCTGCCTCCCCCCGACGGCCACCTCAGAAGAGAGCTGAACCTGATATCACATGATTCACAAAGCCTGCATTCAGTAGCAGCCATTACTCGTATCTCAGACCAAAAATGACATGATCTAATCTACAGATGGACGAGGACCAAATATGTAGACGCATTTTAACTCCTCAATGTGTCAAATGAGGTTTCAAAGAACACAATGGACATTTAACCCTGACTCACCTAAAATTGTACTTGTGGGCAGCCTTGGGGAATCTTGCAATGATTTTACACGAGGGTGACGCTCCAAACACCTGCAAGGCAAAGCAAAACAAATAACTTTAAGAATCACCACTGATGTCAGTATTTGATTTGCAAAGATGTTTGTTTGTTTGTATGTATGAACAAAACCTGTTGTGTGCAGCCAAACCAAGCCACTGGCAAACTCAAAGCAACATGTGTGTTGAACACACTAAGTGATGATGCAGTCAAAAACACAATCATAAACATAAACATTCATTAGGAAACATGCCGCCATTTTCCATCTGTCGGTCAGAACTGCGTGGATCTCAATCACTAGTGCACAGATAGCGATCAAAATCTATATTGGATCTCACTAGGATGTAACACAAGGGCATCTGCAAATTTAAGACATTTTAAGACCTGCACAAATAAAATTAATACTGTATGTCCATAATGAATTTGACTTATGTACCAATTTATCAAAATAGCCTATACAAATTAGAGGTCGACTGATTTTGTTTCTTCATTAGAACAGATTTGGAGAAATTAAGCATGTGCCGTCAGAATGAGAGTCCAAACAGCTGATTAAAACATCACAATAATCCACAAGTAATCCACACAGTTACCATCTTGTAAAGCGAAAAATCTGTGTGTTTGTAAGAACCATTCCTTCATTAAGACATTTTTAACATCAAACCATCGCTTCTGGTCCGCGATCCATAATAACGCTTACTTCAGTGAAAAGCGTTGTCCTCTCACATCTAAATCCACTGACATATTTGTTTAGAAGCGTCTTGGACTGCTTTTGCTTGTAAACAGTGCTTGATGTGTGTATATTTCTTCCCTGATTCAGATGAGAGGACTTGTTTGCCTTGAGGCAACGGTTTAAATTTAAAAACATCTTTGACTGTTACATACAAACATGCAACTTTTCGCTTCTCAAAACGTTAATTGATGGCCTGGAGTCATGTTGATTACTAGTGGATTATTGTGATATTTTTAATATTTTGGTGAGCAAAGTGATGTAATGCTAAATTTCTTTTTAAAGAAATAAGCTCATCTAGATCTTGGATGGCCCGAGGATGAGTAAATTTAAAGCTAATTTTAACCCCTTAACTGTCACGCTCGCGGGACGCCTAAGTTTTCTTCAATATATTGCAATTAAATCCTAATCTAATCATGACAAACCATATATCGTTGGAAAGTTCTAAATATTTTTTTTTACCACTGTTTGTTGTTAAAAATTATGTAGGAGCAGTAATAGATTAATTTATGACAAGAGTGCACCTCAAAACATATACACCATAACAGGAGCTCTGACCTTTATCACAAAAAATATTATTTGTTTCATCATATATTATATATTATATATCATTTGAAAGCTTAATCTCAAAATTCGTTTTGAAATCGGACAATGCATTACCATAGAAATGGATAGTGTTGTCACGGTACCAAAATTTCAGTATTCGGTACCAATACCAGTGAAAATCCACGGTTCTCGGTACCAATTTTGGTACCAAAGCAAAACACAAAAACATGCTAATTGAACAACATTTTTATTAATAACGTTAAACAAAAATTAAATGTTTTGTTAGTTTGATGCGTTTCCTCCTCTTGAGGTCGCCACTGCTAAGAAGAGGTTGCCAGATTTTCACAACAAAACCCGCCCAATCACATTTCGAGGGGGTCCCCCATTAAAAATCGCGTAACGTTTTCATTTTTTTAGTACCGACTTGGTACCGAAATACCGGGTCTTTTGACAACACTAGAAATGGACCTTAAAATTTTTTAGCGGGATCCTCCCCCTTAGTGCATCCCTTAGTGCGGGGGTGTCATATTACAAAATGCTATTACAGTCTTTTGGAATCAAAACTTTTTAGAATCTTGACAAAATACATATCGTCGGAAAGGTCTGAGTCTCAAGATTTTTATTTTGTGACAGGCGTAATACTGAGAGAGAAATTTATACATTTGTGACAGAAAAACACAACTTATTTAAACATATGGCTTTAATTTTATGCCAAATCTGGATAAAAACCTATTTTGTAAAATATTTATTTTTTTATAAAAGATAATAAAAATAGTACAGTAGATTTTCTTTACAGTAAATTTAAACTTATAACTTTTTTTTAACTTTCATTTTTTGAAATTATTTCATTTCTGCAATAATCTGCTGATTGTCTTCTTTAAAAAGAGACCAACCTTAGGTCTGTAATCAAAAGCGTTCATGAATTATAACAATTTAAGTTTGAACAGTGCACTTTCAAGTCTATGTTCAAAAAGGGGGGTGACAGTTAAGAGGTTAATTTTAACCATATGAAAACAGGGGGTGAACCATGAACAAGTCCATGAATTAGACAAATAAACACAAGATGAATGTAAACGTGTTCTGTTCAAGTATACAGACAGTCAAGCTGCTTTTATTAGAAAATAAATCTGATGTCCAATCTAAAATTTTGTTTGGTCATATTTAATATAAATTTCCCTTAATTAAATAAGCATATAACAGTATTTTCCAACCACTTGCTTCCACGTAGGTTAGGGGTGGGCGATATAGCCTCAAAATTATATCACGATATTTGCGATAACGATATTTATGACGATATAGACAAAAAAAACATGGGACAACGTTTTATTGGTGGTTGCAGCTGGCAGGCAGCAGCATTTAGTGCAAACAAAATGAAGGGCATTTTCCATCCTTTTCCAATGAGCTACTGTCATCGATGACAGACTACCTAATTTGAAGTGTAAATCTATTGTCATTAGATGGCAGAAGCAGCTGTGTGCTTGACTTGAAGCAGACCGATTAGTGTATGACGTCAAAATACCGCGAGAGTGACTTACCCCTTATTTAGGCCCAGTCCACACGGAGATGCGTTTAGCTGTATATGCATAAATTTTGTATCGTATAGGCATTTCGTCCAGACGGATCCGGTGTTTTGGGAGCGTGTAACACAGATTAATAAATGTATTGTTCCATGTTCGTTTGTATACCATGCGCAATGTTTATGCGCATAGTCCAAGTCTTCTCGTTTTAAAAGACAAGACGATGGCAGAAGATTGTTTAGAAAGGAAATGCAAAGGCACCTGTTTGGCAATATTTTAGATTTTGAAAAGTCTATTGACTGGAAGTTTTTTTTTAAATATACGTTTCTTATTTATTTGGTTACACAGTGTTTGCGGATTACTTTATTTAAACTGTGTATTTTATTTATTTTATATCAAGGTGTATATGCCGTGCCTCCAAGACATTTTAAGGACTATTTGTGAACCATGAACAAGTCCATGAATTAGACAAATAAACACAAGATGAATGTAAACGTGTTCTGTTCAAGTATACAGACAGTCAAGCTGCTTTTATTAGAAAATAAATCTGTGGCGCGTTACGGCTCCGACGTGGCCACTCTAGTCAATGCTTGTGTTTACACTAGGCTTGCTGCGATAGACGGCGTTTTCAGTTATACCGATGTTAAGCCGCAACACCGGTTACGTCATTTGCCTACCACGGCACCGGTTAGAGGACAGACACTTTTCAAAAATAAACGCTCAATGCAGCGTGCCGAACCGTGCGCAAACGACACGTCGATTAACCGGTGGGAAAATTTCCTCACCGTCACAACCCTAGTTTACACCAGCAGAGCCGCGGCACGTTTCAGAAGTGGCTCTCTGCACCGCTTCGCTAAAGATATGCGCCTCACCTATTTTTGAAGCTAAGAGTGTGCCCTCGAATATGCTCTAGAACCACTCTCGCGATACTTTAATGTCATACACCGATCAGTCTGCGCAGCGCTGCTTCAAGTCAAACACACCTATTGGGTTTGTGGTGTTGTTGTTGTGCGCGCTAGGACGTATATCCGCCATACGTCATCGCGTCGCTATATCATTGATATCGCGATATGACACTTTTTTTATCATGTAAAAATTTATACCAGTATTATCGTGGACAGTATATGGCACACCCCTAACGTAGGTACTTCCTGGAGATCAATCTATATCCAAACAAACATCAGTAGATAAACCGAGACATAAGGCAGGATGTGTGTCAAAACCTAGTGAGCTGCTTACCTAGGTAACATTTTGAGCACCACAGACACGCCTCATACAGGGTGCTCGCACCTTTTGACTAATGAATTTACATGCCTAGAACATTTTACGCAAGACTGCATTCACAAAAATGTCTGGCCTATTAAACATTTTAGAGCTGAAAAGAATTAGAAAAATACATTTACTATTGAATATTATTGAAACTGCAAAGATTTTTCATACCCTTAAATCGTCATTTTGATATTTCCAAGTATTCCATCATTGTTGGAACAATCAGTGAATTTTCTTAACACAAGACAGTCTCGGTACTCCTAAAAAGCAATAGAAGAACACTTGTTTGGCCAATCACCTTTTAGTCTATATTTTTGGCCAACACACGTTTTAAATTGATCTACAATGTTTAAAAACGCTGGCTAGATAGTTAGCACACTAGGTTTTGTTTAATTATGCTTTGGGATCAGAGCCTCCATTGATTAACCCATCAAACCAGTTCACCACAATGCAGAATACTAGATAAATATATTAAAATATAAAGGATTTCACACAATTAAACCTTTAACCTCATATAAAGCAAATTTGTTTTGATGAAAAGAACTTACAAACCTTTTCCAATTAAATTAAATTTACTGTTATCTCAATTAAATACCCACTGCTGAGCTTAAAACATCATTTGCAACCCTTTTCAAAAACCACACATGATACAAACAGGGTGTTAAATATGTTAAAGCCTTTATGAAGGTTTCTACAGAATTATGATGGAATAAGAGGTTAAATATAAGAATAACGACCAAAATCAGATATGAAGCTCAACCCCTCATTCAGATCAGGATGTAGAGCATCAGTTAGGAGCTAAACTAACAGCCTGTCTAAATTGTACACACTCATAACCACTCAGCTAGTTTATTTTCAAACAAATCTACACTTAAGCACATTCACGACAACATTTAAGTGTTAAACTATTCAAACCCCATCAAATCATCGAGTTTCTCTAATATTTCATTAGCATATCATCACGTTAGCCACAGCCATGCTAACGTTCCATCATCTACACAATAAACACATTTCTAAAGACACAAGCGGGCATAATACCTCATATAAAAAAAACTCATCTTCCTTAAAATTATTTAAAGGTCATGTATATGTTAAAAGTTTGTAGTGAAAGACACAAAGTATTAATATAAAGGGCGGTTTGTATTACCTCTCAGCTCTGTGTTAATATGGCGGCGGCGGCGAAGTTAGCGCGAGGAGACGCGACGCTCTTCCGGTCCTGCAGGGGGCGCGTTTCAGCGGCGCTCTCACTGATCCTGGCTTCCGCTCAAAGACGCTGGGTTTACTGGTTCTCCCACCAAAGTATAGAAGCCCCACTCTGTGTGCAGGCTTATGATTAACTTGCTTATATTTTAACCAAATTTAACATCCATAAATGCATGTTTAATAATAAAAACCCAACTTTATGTTTTTTTTTGTTTTTTTTAAATTAAGTAAGTCTGTACATTAGTCATGCAAAGTATTTATTTTGATTTATTCTAGTATTTATTTCTATACCTGATTCCCTTATTCTAATTTTTATATTATTACTCCTCCCTGGTACTTTTTTATTTATTGTGTAGTTTTTTCTCTTGTTGATTTGTATTTGCATTTAAACAAAAGTGCATGTATAACGTTAAAGTTTATTAAATAAACTAATAATAAATGAACTCTCTGCACAGACAATAGAGCCTACATGGAAAGTGTGTTCAGAAAGAAATGGGAGAACATTTTTAGCAAAACCATTCAGTTTTGCAGTTGTGGATGATGTTCATAACTTGGTCTTTCTTTCTGTAATTAAGAATGTACATGAATGCATAAAGATTATTACATGATCCAGAAGCCCTCAAAACTATGAAAACTTTGTTTTTATATTCAGTCCTTGTAGCCACTTGAAGTTCAAGCTTTGAAATGTTTCAAACATTTTCATCTAAAAGTCTCTGTACACCTGGTTTTGTTATTTTTGTATTATTGAATGTTGTTGTTCAATATTTAGTATTCAATATTTAGTATTTTATGACCTTTGGACAACAAAGCAAATTAACCTGTTTGTATTTATGTAGCTAAATGCATGTGTTCTTATACTGTGTACATTTATGTTGTGTAATAATTAATATTTTTGGGAAGTGACACAAAGTACAAGATCTAAGAAGATCTTGTCTCTTTAAATTGTCTTTGGCATCATCTTCTCCAGCATTAATTAAGACGACAGAATTACAGCCCTGAAGTGGGACACACCAGAGCAACGGGAATATTAGCAGGCTATGAATGCCTGTCTGACAACTTAATAGATAACTGTCAAGAAAACTGGTGTTATGGGCTAATTTACCTGATGACAGCTAACTCATTTGCACATAATTTAACAATTCATAATCCGAGGTAATGGACACTTGGACTCAACAGGCAAGTGATGGAAGAACCTTAATTGATTCTGAAAAAGGATTCGACTTCATCTGAATGAAAACTTTATGTTTTTTTTTGTTTTTTTTAAATTAAGTAAGTCTGTACATTAGTCATGCAAAGTATTTATTTTGATTTATTCTAGTATTTATTTCTATACCTGATTCCCTTATTCTAATTTTTATATTATTACTCCTCCCTGGTACTTTTTTATTTATTGTGTAGTTTTTTCTCTTGTTGATTTGTATTTGCATTTAAACAAAAGTGCATGTATAACGTTAAAGTTTATTAAATAAACTAATAATAAATGAACTCTCTGCACAGACAATAGAGCCTACATGGAAAGTGTGTTCAGAAAGAAATGGGAGAACATTTTTAGCAGTTGTGGATGATGTTCATAACTTGGTCTTTCTTTCTGTAATTAAGAATGTACATGAATGCATAAAGATTATTACATGATCCAGAAGCCCTCAAAACTATGAAAACTTTGTTTTTATATTCAGTCCTTGTAGCCACTTGAAGTTCAAGCTTTGAAATGTTTCAAACATTTTCATCTAAAAGTCTCTGTACACCTGGTTTTGTTATTTTTGTATTATTGAATGTTGTTGTTCAATATTTAGTATTCAATATTTAGTATTTTATGACCTTTGGACAAGAAAGCAAATTAACCTGTTTGTATTTATGTAGCTAAATGCATGTGTTCTTATACTGTGTACATTGATGTTGTGTAATAATTAATATTTTTGGGAAGTGACACAAAGTACAAGATCTAAGAAGATCTTGTCTCTTTAAATTGTCTTTGGCATCATCTTCTCCAGCATTAATTAAGACGACAGAATTACAGCCCTGAAGTGGGACACACCAGAGCAACGGGAATATTAGCAGGCTATGAATGCCTGTCTGACAACTTAATAGATAACTGTCAAGAAAACTGGTGTTATGGGCTAATTTACCTGATGACAGCTAACTCATTTGCACATAATTTAACAATTCATAATCCGAGGTAATGGACACTTGGACTCAACAGGCAAGTGATGGAAGAACCTTAATTGATTCTGAAAAAGGATTCGACTTCATCTGAATGAAAAAACTGTGGATTTTTAAATATAACAGCATAAAAATGGTACTATATGCATAGATTTAGGCATATTCAGTGTGCTTTTTAAATCACATTGAGATTATTCATAATATTGTTTTTTCATCATTCATCTTGTTCAGTCATACTCAACCTATTGTTGTCGATAATCACACCGTTATACAATTTGACTTAGAAAATTGCTGAAATATTAATTAGGAAGTCTTTGTAGCATAATGACTGAGACGTAAAACTAACTAAAATGCTGAGTATTGTCCACAGATTATTCTTCCCACATAAAGGGGCATCAGACAGGTCTCATGTGATACTCTGTCTATATTAAAAAGCTATTCAATCCCATCAGCCTCTGAATAAATCCTGTCTGGTATGTGCTGGTTAAAGAGTGTAATTTTTCATGATGATGGAAGGCAATGGAAACTGCTTTGAAATTATGACTGTTCATTTACTAAGCTGGCAGGGAGTGAAAGCAGGAGAGACTGCTTACCAACCAAATACACAAGTCTTGGTATAGCATTCATGTTTTGATGATAGACGGAAATGGTGATTCTAGCAAGGTCACAATTTTAAATCGTGTTTATGTTGTTATGTTCATATATACTGCAGGTTGTTAAAGATAAATGGCAATTTGTGTTGACATTTCCTTTTGAAACAGGAAGTAGGGGCAGGGCATTTCAAAGTTTCTAAGCAAATAGCCAACAGCATGAAACATCTGTGCCTTCAGCAAGAAAATATCAATTTTATTGAACAAAAAATGTCTAGAAACTGAGTGTAAGATGAGTCATTAATATGTTTGGTCCGATTTATTGGAACATTGATGAACAAGAACACAATTAACCCTCTGACATTCTTAACTTTGGGGTCACACTTGAAGTCCTAGGCAGTCAAAGCAGTGCATAACTTTCTTCTTTAATAAAATTAATGTAGGTTTTATTTCAGATTTTTTATTTATTTAATACTTTGTATTTGAGGAGATTTCATGGCACTTAATATTCATCTCTAAACTATGCATAAAAATATTTGTATAAAATAAGATTTCTAGATAGTAACACAATACATTGTTCTGTATATATTTTTTATTTTTGTATTTTTTTGTTAATCACCATTCACATTTCCCAAGGAAGTCATTTTTGACAGCTAAGACCACAAGTGACTATTTCTAATAAAATTATGATTTTTTTATTAAAAATTAATATTTTGTATTTTGAGTAGATTTCATTTTTGAATCATGTTCAATTTGTAAGTGTGTGTCCATAGGTGCCACAAAAGTTACCAAGTTTCATACCATTCCAGTGACGTAAAAAAAAATCAAAACAGTGTATTTTTTAAGCCTAAATGACCCAAGAAGGGATAAAAACTGAATAATATCCTTAAAGACCAGAAATTAAAGACGACATGCAACTTTGTTTACAATGGAAGCATGTTTCTGCCACATGATATAAATAAATAAAGGTAATTGCAACGTCAGAAATCAGAATTGCAAGATATTAATGAAGAATTTTGAGTTTATACGTATCTCGGATTATGAATTTACATTTCACAATTCTGATTTTTTTTCCCACCATGGAATAAACAAAAGAAAAAGGTAATTGCAACTTTTCATCGCACAATTGACTTGTTTTCCTCGCAATTCCGAGTTTGCATCTCACAATTTTGAGTTTATATCTCGCAATTCAGACTTTTTCCCCTCAGAATCACAAGAAAAAATGCCTAATTGTGAGATTAAAAAAATTACAATTACCTATTTTTTATCCCATAGCTTACAGACATAACTATTTTTTAAAAAATCTATAAAAAATATTTTTTGGCTGGCATAGGATAAATGTTTAAAAACTTTTTATTTAAAATGTTTCATTTATTGATGGCTTTTCTCTGTAAATCGTGACCCGTACCACAACAAACAGAGGTTTCTAAGATCAAGCTGGTCTTGATAGTCCTGTAACCCAAGCGAGCTTGTGCTCCCTAATGTAAAGTGCCGCAGAGCGTTTCTTTTTTCCGTCAAGCATGAGAGTACGTTCTGTACCTCATGATGCTAGCAATTTCCTTTCAGCCTCCATGTTTAAAAGGAAAATCCAGGGGTCCCGTGTGCCCTTGGGCCTTTTTCACATACACATGTAAATCTGACCTTACCAGCTTTCAAAGACTTCCCTCACGAGTGTTTCTTGAAAAGACAGCTAAGCGGCAATAATGTGGCCTAGTGAGGGATCCTCAACGGTTAATTATCCATTTACGCTTTTAAAGAGAAAAATCCTTTTAGCGTGCACACAGAGGACTTCTTTGATAGTAGGCAATGCTGCTCCTAAATACCAGAGTGGAGGACATGTCAAATGTAGCTCTATTACACAGGACCACTTTCTCCCATTATCAAAACTCTAACCCCTGTTCTGCTCCACAGCGGCCCATTCCATTTTACCACAGGCGCCCATAGAAATCCAGGAAAGGTAAAACCCAGATGGGTAAACTTCCTGTCTTGTCTAGCGATGGCCCATTCATTTCCATTGGCAGTAGTTCCGTCTGATAAAAGGGAAAAATAGCCAACAGATTGAATGTCCAGGGACGGATGAGTCTGTGCTTGGGATGTACAAGGGATTTAGTCTTAGCTGTGTGAGTTTGTGAAATCGGCCATGTATGGAATTTCCGCCTTCTCTTCATTTTAAGGCTGGAATACATGACTTTTGCCCTGATTTGACATTTGACAGTCGATTTAGCAGAAAATCATGTAGTGTATGATGGCCACAGATGTTTTTAAGCGGCTTTTCGACTAGCTCTTTCATTTGCATACGATTGTCGCATTTCGCCCCCTAGTGGCAGTCACGCA